AGGGGAACACTAATCAGAGAAACTGGTGAGGGAGACACACAGTGGGTCATTGGGCCCATCCACTTCTAGTACAGAACTCATTTATGCACCAGGCGGTTCAAAAGCTACTGTTGTCAGTCCATACCCAGCCCAGAGTATTACAGGCAGTGGAACAGCCAAGTGCAACTCCACAGAAGAACTATGATCAAAATTAAAAAAAAAAAAAGAGACAGACAGACAGAACAAAAAAGGGAGCGATTTTACCTTGGGAACTGCAGGGACATGTTGCCTGCACAACAGCAGGGTCTTGCAGGGCAGCTGTGACTGTCCCCTTCATGCCCCACTCATTTTTGAGCTCCCTGCCAGAGCACTGGTACTGTGGCCTCACGATGGCACTGTAGGAAAGGAGTTGCTTCAACCTGAAAGCAAAGCCAGCCAAAGAACTGTGTGTGCCAAAAGCAAGAGGATGTCCCTCAAGCACTTCTATCCCAGAGAGCTTTCCAGACCCTACAGCAACAGCAGAGACGCCACCACCGCCAGGACGCAGCAGCTATTGGAGTGTGCAGCACAGCACAGAGGAGAATAAACACTGGCCTGAGCAAACCTCCGCTCTGAGCAAGTGCCAGGAGCTGGCTGTGGCTGCAGAGTGCAGGTGAGATCATGGATTTTTAAGGTCATACCTGAGAAAAAGGCAGAGTAAACCACAGGGATTATCCCACTGTACCAACCAGCAGAGGCTGAGTCAACAGTGCTAGAACTCGACCTATTAAGGATTTTAATGACTACTCTTTTCTAATAGCTACTACAACTGGTCGTAATGTTTCTTCCTGTTCGACAGCTCTTCAGTGCCTTGTATTCAAGCTAGTCTGTGGGTCTTAACATTGCTAATGGAGAGATATCCACAGTAGGACAGTTCACTTTGTAGCACAATTAGTGGCCCGTTAAAAAAAAAAAAGGTAAAAATTGTCCCTTGCGCCTGCTCCCTCAGCGTGCACAGGCATCGCCCGGGTTAGGTGAGTGGGGAGAAACTGGATTTAACTGGCAGGGAGGAAGAGGACAAAGCAGGAAGTTCTTAAAATTATAATAAAGAGATCAGCAGCTATTATTTGTGTACTGGGCAGACTTTTTATGAATTTAGCCTAGCCCGTAACATGAAGAGCAGTGTCACATTTGACCTCTTATCATTTACCTCAGCAGAAGGCCAAGGACTGGACTGACCACAGAGGATAAACAACACCCCTCTGGGCATTCAAACGCCTCAGGACAGGCTCCTCTCCAGAGTTATGGCAGCAGCTTGAAATGAAACAGTAAGTATTTGGTTTGTTTTTTTCAGCCATAGAAACTGTATTCTGCTTCTTTACTCCCTTTTTTCTAGGTATGTTGCAATGGGCCTTACAGCAGATCATCATCTGAGGCCCTGGCAGGAGGGGGTTTTCAATACCAGTATTGTGTTTGATCTGGCGCTCTCTTGACTCCTCTTTTTTTTTGACTCCTTCTGATCATGTTTTCAAGTTTATAGCCACAAAGCCACAAACTTCCCTTAGAAAAACAGAAAGCTGGAATTCCAAGGTATTCCCACAACTCCAGCAACCGGGGATTTGGGGGAGTGGCCGAACATGACAAGATTTCTGATGATGTTTTGCAAATAAAATCAAGAGGCTGTAAGAGCACTGCTCCCACTGCAGCTCCAGTTTGGCCAGAGCACTTGCACTGTGCTTGCCCCATGAGATCCCAAACAAGGGCAGCCCATCTAGGCTCTGCAGTGGTGTGGTCCATATTACCTGCGGAGAGGGACAGCAGTGACAAGGCTGTACACAACACAGGGTTTCCGGATTGCAGGACGAACAACAGAGCAGACGGTCAGCATGTGTGACGGGAGGCAGCAGAGGAAGACCACGTCCGCCCAGGCCACCAGCTGAGCATTGTCATAAAGGCACCCAACCCCCTGCTCCTGCAGGTCTGCTGAGATAAAGCAAAGCAAACGGGGCTCAGAGCCATAGACTCAGGGCAGGCGAGCAGCCATCACCGCCAGGCACAGGCAGCGTGGTACCTGCTCTCTGCTACACGCAGATGAAATGCAAACAACCTCTCCCCAGCTGGAACTGCCCTCCCAAGGCGGCAATGAGAGACTTCAGCAGCTACCCATCACCATTTCTACATGGCAAGTGGCACCTTGGTGACAAACCAAGCAAGCATCTCTGCCAGGAATAAACGTGCATTGAATTCAGCCATCTGGCCCCAGATCGTGAACACTGATTTAAAGCCTTAGCCAAAACAGCCAAGTCTTGGGATCTGGCTAGTTTTCAAGATCTATAAAAAGCCATTTAATAACCCGTGCTTACTCTCTACTCTGAGATGATTAGAAAGAGGATTTTATTGTTCTATGCATCTCCCTGGAGGAGAGTTCTCCCCACTCATCTTGTTTTATATAATAGTTTACAGAGCAGTTGACAGTTTGTATGCAAACAGTTGCTGTAATGCTGCAGTCTAATCCCCGCTCCTCTCTGGGCCTTCAGAGCATTTCAGAGCACAGCAAGAAGCTTGTCTTGTACAACTGACCCTACAGCAACGAAACAAGGAGAGGAACTTCTCAGTTTCAGCATTGCTGCAGATTTGGAGAGATGTTTCCTCTGTTGGGTGAATATTTAATAAGCTGGAATCTCAATCACTCACCAAATTCTTGGCACGTGTAGCAAATGACAAGGAGAATTTTGAAAAGAGCAGCAAAAGTTGCAGGGCTAAACTAAGAGGGGCTGAAACTAACAGGCTTTCAAAGGTACAGAGTCAATGTCTCCACCAAGCTCAATGGGGACTGGTGACAGAAAATCTGCTCAACTGAATTAGCACTTAGCAGACAGTGGGTTTCCAACTGAATAAAAGTTTTTTCCACAATGGCATCCCCTGCTTCCCCATAAAAATTTGGAGTTTCAATGCCTTCAATATTTTTGGCAGGAGAGCATTCTCTAGTGAGTTCTGCCTGAAGCGCTATAAGAAAATCCAGTTAAAGTCCACACAAGCGTAGTCCCGCTTCCAAACCCAGACTCAGGAGCACTTACCCAGGCTTTCCGGGCGCCTAGTAGAAATGCGGATACTGCAGCATGGAGCCCAGCTCAGCATCAGCAGCACTTGAGCCAGCTGCTTCCCAAGGTGGCCCCCGCCGATAATCCCAACCTTCAGGCCGCAGTTGTCCACCAAGGAAGTCGGCAAGCCCTTTTCGGTCTTGCTCGGCCTGATGCAGAGGAACTGGCATCAGCCCAGCAGGAGCCCCAAGCTACATGCTGTCCTACCCTTCCAGGAGAAGTCCCTTGCCAGATAACACTTCCCTGTCACTCACGGGGGAGTGGGTGATGCCGGCGCCTGAAGATTTTACCTCTTGGGCACTTCTGTGAATATGACTCAGGCAGACAGTAATTTGCAGGCCCCACATCTGCCTGATGGCTGCAGCATAGCACACGCAGCATCAGCAGAGCTTGGGGCGAGACCCTTGAGAGCAGGGTGTCCACAGCACTCAACACAGCACTCAAGTGCTGGGGCTAACTGGCTGCTTTGCTGGCCCAGCATGCCCCTGCGATCAAACACCCGCAAAGCCCCAGGGCTCTCCAGGGCAGAACGGAGGTCTGTCCAGCTAGGGTAAAGCCACTATTACCCTTTCAGGGGAAAGGGGCTAAAAAGATGCTTAAGGACCAAACAAGCTGTTGGGATGTCCCCTCGCACTGGTGTGTCGCTGTAAAGCAGACCGGCAACTAAGAGCTGATACTTGGCTGACACACATCAACCCATGCAATGACCAAGCCCAGGGAACAAGTCAACATGAAGAGCACAGACTAGTGACAGGAAAGACTGCTGCTGAAAAGTGATGTCCCACATGTTAACATGGGACAACTGACTCTTTATAAATCATACAGGCTAACTGCAGGAACAAGCAACAAGTGTTGGGCACTGCTAGCTTTCTGGGACAAAACCCCCATTTGGTGTTAAAAGACAAATTTCCATTCCCTGTTTTTCTCAGGGGAAAACTAACTGAAGGGAAAATCCTCAGATGCTTAACACTGACTGAGAGTTTATACAAATACAGTGGTTTAGCAGCTAGTGTGGATGTAAACAGTAAGATGTTACCTGGGAAGAACTAGATAAAAAGCTAACAAACTGTAGCTGGCATACCTATAAAACGCTTGCTTCATATAGACCTGGTGTGAACTGCACAAGAAGCTCCCTACAGAGACCAGCTACTTTACCCACTTCTCCCAGTGACATGTTAATGCTATCTAGACCTACACCAGAATGTTCAGTGATGTTTCTGTATCATGTTTTAGCTCAATAAAGATGCAGTGTCTTTGGAAAGAGCTCAATGCGTCTAGGTTTCTTCCTCAAAGTCTGTTTCCCTGACATGCTTCTGTCACCCAGCCAGCACCTTTTACCAACAGTGAGGAGCTCACTTCCACATTACCTGAAGGCATGAAGAAGTTTGCAGAAGAAGATGGCATGGGCACATGCATTCACTGTCAGCCCCTTGTAGCGCCTTGCCAGATTCATCAAGGCCTCCTCACCTTCTGCTTCTTCCTCGGACTGAGAAGACTTGAAAATCTCTGCGGTATCCCACATCTTGGCCCAGAAGGACAAGCTTCCAGAATGAGGATTTAGAAGAGGGACATGGACTCCACCCACATAGTATTGCAGTCCAGCCCAGCACCTGCCAGAGAATAAGTGGAGGCAAAACACAGGACCCAGCTCTTCTCAAGGTTTTTGCTTGCAGAGAAGAAGCCTAGAAAAGCCACAGCTCCCCCCATGCAGCACAGCCACTCACAAGACACATCAGTGGATATTTGAATCTGCTTTTTCTCTGAGGTTACAGCTCCCTATTACATGAGCCCCAAAGAGACTTTAAAACAGCCATCTGCAAGCTGCTGGCACAGCACTTGACCAGACTTCATTCAAGCTGATCCCAGACTAAGGTAATGAGAAAATCAAACCGTGAATGAGTGATTCGTTTTTTCAGTTCACATCTGCATACTACAGTAGTACTGTGCTTCCCCAGCTGAGCAATCCATCAACTCCTCCTCTCTACCCCCATTTGCTGTGAAGTCCCTATCCCTTGGCACAGCCAGCTCAGCAGCGTCCAGATGCAAGAACCCTGTCTGGTGCCCACGGTATTGCTTCATGTGAGTCACAGGGACGCTTACAGGGGTACAAGGCAGTCATCGCAAGAAGACACTGGTCACGACCAGCCCACAAAGCTCTAAGTGCCCAGCGACACCAGATTCCCTCCTGTGCCGGGGAACGGGTGTTTCAGCTCGCAAGAGTGCTCTCTTGGTAGCACTCTTGGTAGGTTCTCCCAGCCCTGCCCGTTTCAGCAAAGAGGAAGCTTAGTGCAGTTTAGCCTGACATGAGGCAAATGTACAGTGCTCCTGACCAGAGCAGGGCGCTGCTGAACTATCTGAATTGCTTCTGTCCTCTGACTGAGACTAGGGCATTGCTGAGTGTATCACAAACCTGCACTGGAGATGGAGAGAGAATAAAGCAAAACAGGCCCTTTCCCGGTTTCTGCAGCTCACCCGACTCAGGCGTGGCTCCCATGGGGCAAGAGGCACCAAAAGAGCTGAAACACCTTAGCCAAACTTGAGTCAGGGACCAAGAGCCCAGTAGATTCGAATATCCACTCCAAGTGGTTGGAGTCCTGTCCTGCAGCTGTTCCTCACCTGCAGCCCACCAGTGCCTGTGGCACCACAGTCAATGTGAGGAACAAGGGCAGCCTGAACAAGGCCCCTGAGAGTTTCCGTCTGCTCAGCTTCTGTCCCCGCTCGTGTGCCCCAACAGTAATGTTGCAGCAGGAGCTGGCCCTGCCCGTGAAGGCAGCAAGCCCCAGGCACTTGGTCCCCAGACTCCAGGCTCCCCTGCAGACACTCAGCCAGCGCAGCCCAAACAGTGCCGCTGCCACGGCGAGCACCTGGTTACCAGGTGCCTCAGCAGAATCTCAGCTTTACCCAGTGGGAACCAGGAGCTCCATTCCTTCCAGAACTCACGCAACATCCCCCAGAGCAGACCATTCCCTCACTCAGTCATACAGGAGGATCAAATTAACTCCAGAAACCTCTGACTTTTCTGCTGGCTTGAAGACCCCCCTTTTCAGATACAGACATGAAGATTTTAGGCCTCCATTAGATTTGTCCATGAACGTTCAGCTTCTGCTGCTCGTGTTCAAACTCCAACTAGTGACTCCATTCCAACAACTGAGCAATGCCCCAGAATGGAGCACGTGGCTTAAGCCTGGCAGCAAACCTCACCCTAACAAATCGCGATTGTACTTCATACACAGTACAGCAGGGATCCTGGAACTCAGCCCTGCCCCCATGAAAGTACAACACTTTCACACCTTCAGCTCCATGCGACCACCCCTAGGGCAGCAAACACTCCTCCAACATTCAACTATACTCATCTGTGCTGATGGCACTGAAGGAGTGAAATAAGGTACTGCTGCAGGCAAAGCCACTTCACGGTCACACGCGTTGGGCTTTTCAGGACAGGAGAAAACGCCCTACCTACTCACTTTGTGGGAGGTGTGATGAATTGCTCAGGATCAGTGCTCCCAGTGACAAAGTACTCGGTGTGAGATGGAAATAAACAAGTCAAGGAGAAAGAGACAGCTTTATTTAAGGAAGGAAGTGAGGTCTGGAAGGAGGATGCCAGCAGTTGCCTGAGGAGTTGTGTTTCTGAGAAGGTGCAGTTCGATCCTTCTTGGCATGACGCTCTCAGAGAAAAGAGCTGCTGGGGCCAGCAGGTTTATGCCTAATGAAAGGGGTCCCTCCTTGGTCTTTGCCCAACCCAGCAGGGCTCTGACCAGCTCCACACCAGGTGCCTACTCTTCCCTGATGAAGAGACCTGCTGAGAACCAGCATGGAGATACTGGCAGAGGCTGCTGCCGTGGCTCTCGTGAGCCAGAACAAACCAGCAAAAAAGAAAAATGGTCTGTAAGGTACACCTAGTTCTCTCCCCCATCACACTCTTTGAGGCAGAGAGAACACAGCCCTGTAGGCTTTACTCTGGACACAGCCAAGGCTGCTGATGCCCAAGTCAGCTGGAAGCGTTATAGGGACTGGTCAGCATCGTCTGTTGGAGAGACCCATGAGTGCAATTGACCTGTTCCTCTTGCTGGAATAAGCCCAGACACCACACAGAGCAAATATAACCCTGCTGTGCCCAGTGACTGCCATCTGTAAACACAAGCCATGCCTGGCTTACAGCCAAAGCAGAGATCCAGATTCCAAAAAGAATCAGCCCTGGTGGATCAGTACCACGTTTCACTGGCTACATGGGAGCAGCTGCCTCCAACCAGCCGAAATGCCTCTGTCCCACAAGCCACAGGCACCCACTGTCACTGACAGATATTAACCATGCAACGACTAGTAACAGTTGCTCTGTTGGCACTGGACCGGGTTGTGTGGTTTCCTCTCTCACTGGCAAGGCAATGGCCAAGTGGGCTGCTTCATACGTGCTCAGTTCTTCCATCGGATTTGCTAAAAGAGAGGCAGAACAGGACATGACTAGCATCAGGCATGATACCTTTGGAGGCAAGTTAGTGGGCCCCACTCCCCGAGAAGTGCACATATGTCCATAAGGTGCTATTTCTATCAGTTTCACCCTTCATTCCTACAGTGAATGCAACCCCAAACATATCATTAGCTTCCCAGGAAGGAGAAAAGGACGTGGGACAGCCATGCCCTTACGGCACACCCAACGTATGCCTGTCTCTGATGAGAGTCTCCAGAAGGTTTCTCACCGTATTGTTGAGAATGCTGTCTATCTTTTCTTCTTCTGCCGAGCCTCGCTCCACTTTGCATCTATACGCTGCCAGCTGGATACGATCCTTTAGATCTCTGTACGTCTAGATAAAGAGCAAAACCAGAGCCCAGATGAGTGAAGCGGACACTTACATATTGGGATGGTGCCCTGCAGTAAATCTTCGATCGCCCCTCAAATTCCCACCGATGACTTTGGCTGCCTGTGCGAGTGGACTACGCAGATCTGACCTGGGCACAGCATAAACCCTAGGGGCTGCTCTCCTGGCTCAGCTGGCTTCCACTGACCATAGTGTTCCCCAGGCCCAGGGATAAAAAAAAAAAAAAAAAAAAAAAAAAACGCAATGGGGCGGGACACCGACGAATTACCATACATAACTACTGGATTGAAGAAAAAAAAAAAAAAAAAAAACAGACCAGGCATGTGGCAGGAAAGCAGCAGAGGGGCAGAGGGAAGCTAGGAAGGAAAAGCATGCTCTCATCCCTCCTCTTCACGCTCGCAGCAGGGACTCACATCAATGACAACATCATGGCACTTGTACTTGGTGGCGAGGTTTAACCGTGTCTCCACGTCCTCCACCAGGCGCACGTAATCCTGCAGCACCTGTGAGGGAAGGAAGGGTGCGTCAGCTCACTTCTTCAAGCACCTCCTGCCTCGCTCTCTCACGCCAACCACAAAATCTTTTTAAGATCATTGGTTATCACAGACTTCACCCATTCCACCCTAGGACAACAAGCGACCAGGACAAGTCTGCTCAGGACCCTCGAGGCAGTAAAGCTTTGCTCACAAAGACCCTAGTCTTAAGCTACCTCACTCCTGTAGATCAGGTTAGCCACCACCAGATTGATCAAGTATGTAAGTTAATGTAGCAAACAAAGCTGACAATGTGGAGAGCACTCCCAGACTCCCTTAGGCCCACTGCCCCTCTTGCAGTCAGCTAGGACCCAGCTCTGATGCCCATTTACGCTTTCCGTTGATGTGGGGGTCACTAGCTGGCTCAGCTGAGTGCTGTGCCCCACTGGCAAGGCCAGCCAACCGTGAGGCAGCTCACTTGGGGAATCTGTCACACACCAAATCCCAGTGAAGAGCAGGCACACAGGCAGTAGCCCGTGCTAACAGCCCAAGAGGTATAAGCCAGCCTGAGAAATGGCTTGGTGACCCAAAGGGACATCTGACCCTGAGCACAGCAGTTCCTTGCTCACCTGCACAGGAGCATTATTCCTCTGCAAGATCTCCACCACCCGGTGGAAGCCAATGGGTGCCTTCTTCTTGGTATAGCCCAGCCAGTTCTGAAACCAGAGCAAAACCCAGTATTAAACTCTAAAGGCACTCCCTCCAGCCATTGCCAGAAGAGGCAGAAAAGCAAAGAACAGGGTTGCCACAGATTGAAGTTGGGAGCAAGAGACTTTTTGCCCCCAATGAAGGGGGGGAAAAAAAATCCCTTCAGCTGCTGGCATCCTTCCCCATCTGCTACACAGGCACTTTTGGCAGAGCCCTTCATTCAGTGACTGGATTCAGGTTGGCAGTGAACCCTTTACAAACCAGGCATGAAGGCAGCTCCTTTCTCTGACACCAGTTGCTAGAGCTGAGCCAGGCCCAGCAGAACTCTTAAGCAGGGAAAGCTGCCCTGTGAGGAACTCACTGCAACTTACTGCAGCAGAGATGCTGGGCCCCACTGAAATAAAATCACGTCTGTCCAGTAACTCCAGAACAAGCCAGCTATCAGCACTGCCTATCAGCACGGGGAATCGAGCCCCCAGCAAATCTTTCCCCAGCTCACCTTGGTGGTGAAGAGGGCATCGACATCATTCCAAGCTCGCAGCTTGGCCCGCGCAGCCAGGGCAGTCAGCACATACTGCTTATCAGGAATCTGCAAGGCAGAGAGCTGCAGTCAGAGCAATAGCACAGCTTAGAGGGTCTGTGTGGGACGGAGAGGAATGTCAGCTGGTCCCGACCCTGGCAGGACCTCTGCCCACAGCCAGGCAAGGAGGTGAGGTGCTACGCGAGGCCGGGGCCAACACTTGCAGAAAGCATGAGATGGAGATTTGCAAGTTGTGCTGCAGCCAGGATGCACTGGCTCCTGCTCAGTGGGACAGTGAAAGCCTCCACTCAGCTCCCACTTGCATTCTGAGCCTCCAGAATGGCTCTGCTCAGGGAGAATGCAGCGCTGCCCTCCTTGCCTCAGTGCTAAGCCGCTCAAACTCTTCCTACTCAACCCCCTTGCTAAGTCAACTTGGCCGCCTATATTTTCAGCTGGTGCTGAAACACCTCACGACAGGAGTCACAGAGGATCCCATACCTTAAATGTTTTCTTCAGGTTGGATGGGCTGCTGAATGTCCCCTAGAGAGAGTACATAAGTCAGTGCAAATTCAGCATGGGAGGCCAAGGAAGTTTGGACACCTTCTGTTGTAAAGCACGTGCCTTACACAGGGTGAATCTCCCCTCCACAGAACTCTTCACTGCTTTTGCTCATGCCACTGCCATAGGAGGGAACAGCTGGCAGAGGAGAGAGCAACTCTCCCACCCCATTAGCTTTCTGGCTTGGTTCTCCCTACAGCCTCAAGCTGTGGCATCTCCAGCAATTCTGAGACCATTATAATACACCTCAGCCTCACAGAATTAAGGGCCAGTTCTGGCTCCTTGGGGGCAGCAGTACAAGATAGTGATCGCTTTTAGGTGATTCCCAACACACTGTCCCAGGCTGAATGTCCTGTCTCAGAGTACAGGAGAAAACTCAAAACTGGTCCCGGATGGTCAAGGGAAGCTGGGTTCCTCTAGGTCTGTCTAGGGGATGAAAGTACGATCTCCCTCTCTTCCTTCATTAACATGCCAAGCTTAAGCACGCCACATACTACGGGCTACAAGGATGAGATGTAACCCGTCACCTCCCACATCACCCTCACCTCAGCCTCTGTGTAGTGGTAGAAACAGGAGTAGAAGAGAGTGGTCACCAGTGGCATGTTGAGAATCGAGGCCTTGCGAGGATATTTCCGAAATATCTCTGACTGCCCAGCTGTTTCTAAGTGCCGATCATTGGCCTGAAGAAGCAGAACGAGAGATAGAGAGCGAGCGCATGAGTCAAGACAGCTGCCTGACCTAGCTGTGGTGCAGAGACCTGGAGAGAGTGTTGTGAAAGTGATACACAAGCACTGCCTCAACATGCCATGAAATCTCAGGTCTGCTATTTCACACATATGCCTGGGGCAGCAGCTTGGATGGCAGTTAAAAACTATAATGGTCAGAGCAGGCTGGGGACAGATAGGGACCTCACAGCCAGCCTGTCATCTCCTGACCAGCAGGGAGGATTTCGTACCTCAATGATTATCTGTCTCTCCAGCAGAGTATAATGGTCTTGGATGTGAGCTGTATCCTCAGCTGAAAATGGCAACCTGGCCAGACACAGAGGAAGACACTCTTAGCAGCTCTTAACACAGTATAACTGAGCGTGCTCCCCACGTACGGGGATGTGACAAGGAACACCTCCCTGTATCCCCAGCCTCAGAGGGGCTAGCAGGTACTCAATCTCCTGCCTCACCAACGCCCCACCCACTGCCCTTTCTGGCTTTCTCCTACACTGGCTCCAGAGAAAGAGAAAGTATTTGCAATACCTTAAAGGACAAGCTAAAGCAAACACTATCGATTCCTTGAGTGCCTAGGCACCCAAGCTTTCACCCTTCACAACCTGAACGTCCCGGAAGCATCTCTGCCCCTCACTAAGCAGCAAAAGATGCTGGACTAGCGATCGTCCCAAATTCTCTGATTTACATCACATCTCATAATACCCCACTTACCCAATACAAAACCAACATCCGGTCTTGAACTACAAAAGCTGTAGCACAGCACTGGGAAGGGGTCTCATATTCTTTATTACCACCTGCTGTTAAGCACCTACATCCCACTCGATCTCTTACATTTTTCCTTACCCGATGCAGCCTTTCAGAAACTCCCTCCGTTTTTCTACATCCTGGATGTTCAAATGCTCCCGATACTGGGACAGCTAGAGAGAGAGGGAAGAGAAGCACAGCCTGTTCTCATGGGTTTGGGAGGTATAGGACTCCAGAGAGCAGAACCAGGATGCAAAGCTCTCCCCTGGCTACCAGACACCCTGCTGCCAGCCTCTCCCTGCCCTTCCCGTGCTCTGTGCTCCCTCCTTACTGAGGAAGGGGAGCTTCAGCTCCTGGGAATACTCACTGCAACTTCCTCAGTCCTGTCCAGGAACCTGCAAAAGGGAAGGAGCATTAATTCTGAAGCAGGTACCTAGTAGCACACTCACCCCTGCCGCAGGGCTGGGCAAGAGCCTCACCTGAGCAGATCCAGAAGCAACTTCTGCTCACCCGTCTCTTTGAGAAAATGGATCAGATGACACAGGGCCACCTGCCGCACCTCCAGCTCCCGAAACAAGATCTCTACGGGAGAGAGGGATACATGCACATGGCTAAAGCAAGTCAGCACTAACGAGCCACATAGGGGGCTAAGCACAGTGCGTGGAGCTGCAAGCCACTATCGGGATTCAGCAACCCCATCCACCCTCAAAGCACAGCCCCAGAGCCCTAGAGACAGGAGAAGTGTCCTGTTCACCAGGCTGCCAGCTGAATTCACAGCAGCTTGCTATCCCTCCAGATTCATTCTCATTCACCCCAACGCTACTACCACCTACCAGTGCTTAAAGCTCCTCTCTGGGGCCTTCTTGGGCATCATCACTCCCCTCCCATTTTACACTCACCGCACTCCCAGACATTTCACGCTCAGTAAAGCAGCAATACGCCGGCTGCTTTCTCCTCTCAACTTGCATTCAGAGAACGAAGCAGTCCCTTAGCCTTTAACAGAAATACACCATAGAAACCCGGACCCTGATCACGCTTACCTTTCCTTAGTGTCCGTTTCAGGAATATCAGGACCTGTGAGCACAGAGAGGCAGCCCTCAGCTGAACAGATCAATCTTCATCAGAATTAAAACAGACAGACAGCAAACTGGTCAAGGCCTGGGGAACCTTTTGTAAAGGCCCTTTAAAGGCACAGCTCTTACTAAAGTGAATTCTGCTGCCCACTGGACAGCGGGCAAGTACTGAGCCAGGGCCACAACTACCTGGATTCTCTAGAGCTTAGATAAATGAGATAAAGTTTTACAAAGAAAGACCTTTTCTTGGGAGATTGAAGGGCTTAAAAGATCTGGATGAGGGATGCTCTGACACAGCCCCATTTACTGCATGATGCTCTGGAAGCCAGATAAGCTGGAGAGATCCCTCAAGTCTTCTGTGCTGCAATGAGCAGATTAAACCTTGGCCTTCAAGAACTTGCTGCAGAGATCTGTAAAGCTGAGGGATCAAGTTCTTTGTTATCACCTGACGTGAATTCTGTGGAACGGCAGGAAAGCCAGCAGGAACATGTAGCTTTCCAGCCTTTACCTTTGACACCCTTTGGTAACTTCTTGGTTTTAAGTAAAGAATGAGGGCATCTTGCAGCATTAAATGGCCAATTGACTGCGTTCACACAAGGGCCCTCGGTGGGGTCACTGAGGAAGTCCCAGCCCTATACGGATATGGCCCCAGCAGGACTCACAGCTGTAATGACATTGCCATCATGCCCTGCCACAGCTTCGTCCAAGAGCACCAGCTTGTCCTGCAGGGAGCGGAACCTCTCTAGAGAGCAGACCTGGAGACAGAGGAGGTAAAAGAAGGCATTCTGGGGATCAGATAAGTCCTCATGCTGAACCAAGCCCCAAGATGCTACCCGTTTTTCCCCCCTTAAGCCCTTCAGCAACATGAATAACAGTCCTCCTACACGCTGTAGGACTTCTCATGAGTTGAAACCACGCACTGCATGATCCCTGGGAATGTGTCCACGGGGGTTGCAGAATTAGCTCTCACTACTGCCTAGGCTAGGACAGCAAACACTGTGCATGCAGAGTTCCACTGAGCACCTTTGTAACAAGGCCAAACTGCCTCCACACCACAAACTAACAGCCCTGACAGGAGGAAGGAACTCTGTAGGACCCTTTCCATGGAAGAGAGCCGAAAGGTGGAGTTACAGGGAGTTACAGGACTTTTACTTCCTTCCTCTTACCCCATAATTCTGTTCTCTCTCAACCTTTGGTCCACCTGCCCCATTTGAGGAGACATATGCAAGAAAACCATATGGCAGTTGGTGAGGAGAGGTAGCTTCAATATCAACTCTAAAGGTCTATGGATATCTTGGTGGCTACCTCTGTGCAAAGCTCCTTCTGTGCTCGTTGCAAACTCTAGGGCAGCTGAGACTAAGTTTCTGGCTCCAGTGTAATCAAGATTGTTTGTCCTCCTCCCTCCATTTGCCATCAACTGAGAAAGAAAGTAAAGCCTCACAGTCTTGGATTTTTTCCACAGCCTCAGGGAATGGAAAGGGCAGAGAAGAACACGGGTGTATAGATACCTTCTGCCAGAGCCTAGCTGAGGGTGACAACTCAAGTAACAACCCAAGAAAACCCTGCAGGCCTCCCGCTGCTCTTGAACTAGGGTGAACTCAGTGCTGCCACCTGACAAAGCAACAGACAGGCACAGCACACTCCCTGCTAGGTGCTGCAAGCAACAGGGATCGCCTTCCTGCTCCTGGACACAGCCAGAAGCATGGGAAAGGTGTAAAGCAGTTTGGGAGAACCCACCCTCCTCTCCTGCAAGCAGATGGAAGAGGAAGGTCCTTACCTTGCCCCTCTGCATTCGCCTGACAGTATCTTTGGGGCTCCAGTCACTGCTGTAATCCTACCACAAAAAAACAAAGAGTTTTTGAGCCTCCAGAGGCCTGATTACTCCAGCAGGCTGCAAGCTGGCTTCCACTTGTGTTGGACCAGAGCGATGGCCCAGAGACAGTCTCGGCCGACAAGACAACCAAACCTAGCAACTCAAGGACACGCCTGCACCCTGTCGTGCCGAACCCCAAGGGCACTCTGCACAGGAGAGGTTCAGGCCCGGGTATAGCTTCTAGCGCTGCAGGGGGATTATTAGGAGCATGTATCTTCACAGTCTTCAGGTAAGAACGCTGCTCAGAGTTCTACATGCGGTGGAGAACGTGGTGGAGAGGTTAAAGGAGAGTCTTTCTATTGCCTGGGTAAAGTCCATCACTATATCCTTTACAGGAAATGCATTTCAACAGGGTGCCCTCCTTGCAAATTAAAGCTCCGAGGTTGGTTTCAGAAGGACAAACAAAATACATGCAAACTTGACAAGCCGAGAACTGAGAGAAAAGGACTGAGTTTCTTACCACAACTCAGACGCACTTCTCCTGGTGAACCTTCCACAGCAGTGTGGAGAATGCAAGGCCAGCAGCCTTAGGTAAGTGCATGGGGACTCACACAGGACTAGTAAAATGTGACAACACCACTGAAGCCTATCCTCAGGTCATAAGCCACAGTGAGCGGAATTCTTCCCCCGAAGTGCACAGACACCAGGATCTGGAAGCACTGGATAATGGGTGGCCCAAGCCAGGCCGGAATTCAGACTCCAAGTAGGTATCTAAATCTATGCGAGGCCCTAGAAAAAGTGGTCATAATGCCTCAAAAGAGCCAGAGAAAGGGAGTATGTAAAGGCAGCTCTAAGGATACTGAACTTAAAATTCAATGAAGATATACCAAAATCCCAGAACTAAGGGAAAAAAGGGCCTTACCCCCTCCCTTCCCATTAGGGGACCATTGCATATGAATCTCTGAAGTCACTATATAGCTGCGTGTCAAACGTCCTGAGCACTGGGGCTCCCTCCAGCCCCAGGCCAGAAGCAGCTCCTCAGCCTGTCACTGTCAGAACACCATTTCAAAGCTGACACTGGCTTTCCTTTCTTAGTTCCACTTCACTTACTCCTGTCTGCTTTTATGGCGCTGTACAACCCCTCTCCTTTCTGCCTCACTGTCCCTGAAGGCACTAGAGTAAAGAGCGGGACACAACACGGAACACTTATTACTCCTGCTGCGCCTTCAGGAATTTGCTACCTGTCAGGTTATTTGATCAAAGAGTAATCACCATAAACGCACTGATTTGGTGAGGCTCAGATGACCATGGACAGGAGGAAGAATCCCAGTAACCTAATCAGTGCAAACTGAGCACACTGACTTGACTACTCCTATCTACCGTCAAACAAGTCAGATTAGAACCATTATCCCTTGTATGAAACCTGCCAATTTGAGTAAACCAAAGAAACTCTCCCCAAACACCATGCAACCCTAAAGAACTATAGGACTTAACATGGGATGCAGGTGAAAGAGAACCTTGGGATGTTTTAAGAGGACTGCGAGAACGCATGAGCCTTATGAGGAGATGCTCACGGAAAGGACAAAAGGTATGGAAAGGGAGGGATCAAAGTAAATCTGGGAGAACAAGCGTGGGAAAATAGAGGTTGGTGTGCTTGTCTGATTGAGCCCTGCACTTGATCACTGCAGCCTATCTTATGTTCTTATTAAATTCTATTTTTAACCATCTTCTGTGTAGGTGGCCTCTCTATTCCAAGCGCGTGCGTTTGTGTGAATGCTAGCGAACTTCAAGCTCACCTAGCCAGTGAGTAGGATAAGTGGTTCAAGTACCAGCAACTAGAGTGGGTCCACGAACAACAATAGCTTGAGCATCCTGGTGCTAGCAACTGAAGGAGACTGGGATCTGGGGCCAGCTGCTAGATATATTGGGTGTCTAAGACCAGCTACTGGAGACCCCCATATGGCGTGGGTACGCTGTGCCAGTGGATTTCAGTCCTGAACAGATAGAGAAGAGGCTCAGGATCAGGTCTGAGTGCTGTATGTTTGTGTGTCTACTGGTAAAGGCACTGCTTTCTCTCTGCGTAGCCAGCTGTGTTAGTAGTGCGCGTGTGTGTGCGTGAATGTGCCTACTGGGAACGGGCTCAGCCTTGTTACTGGCTGGACCTGGGGACATGCAACTGCAACCTCCCATCTACTAGGCTGGGACAGGAGAAAACCGCCAGATGCCGAAACCCATGGGATTTGGCAACATCTAAGACTGCCTACCTGGGAGAAGAACATTCCTGCCAACTGGAAATCCATCTTTGTGCTCTCCCTGACCAGGGTGTTCCTGTGATTCATGAACAAGGGATTTAGAAGGCTGTAGGTTCCTGTTTCATTTAAGGAATATAAATGATGCCAATGCATCTGATCCAGCATGAGAGGAGCTTACAGGTGAGGCATTATTAAGAGTTCCTTCCACAGAGACTGATGGGCAAGACATTAAGAGAAGGAATAACTAATATCCCTCCTCGTGGAACCAAAGCTCCCTTCTCCTGGGCACAAGCAGAGAACGCCTAAATTACTGTGAGGCTGGTTCGACATTTTGCAACCGCCTGTCCTATTCCCTTCATTGCTCTCTGCTGTCTGAAATAGAGATTAATCACTTCCCACGAAACCTTTAGAGCGGGCAGTTCTCCTGGCAGTGCTCTGATCTCAATGTTACAAACACAGGCTGCTCACCTTGTATTCAGCTTTTGGCCTGCGCAGCTCTGGGGCGTAGTTTTTAACCCCTGGGTCAGAGAGGGCTGGGAGGGAAAGACAAAACTATGAGTAGCAGCACATCAACATCCTGATTCACACTTACTTCTGAAGCCACCATTTTCTTGGTTTCCCTGGTAGAAGACCCAAACTCAAGCATCAGATGGCAACACAAAGTTGCTCTAAACCCAACACTCTTCACTTACAATATGGGCCTCAAACCATCATGCCATTTTGCCTGTTTGCTGGGTGACTTTCAGCCAACCTATGATTCAGTTTCCCTTTCGGACACACAAGGAAGGTGACACTACCCTTTCTTCAGAAATGCTTTGGGTAAAAGCCTCTTATGCAAAACTATGCCCCTCCCAAAACGAGGCAAGGTGTCAAGACTTACCATCTGAAAGGGACTGGAAACTTGGAAGTCTGTTTCGCCCTGAAATGAAAACAAACTGCCATGAGAGGACTTCCTCTTCCCTGGCAACATCTCTTGCAGAGGGAACACAGCTCTGGACCACAAGCCAGTGAGCCACAGCTACTCCGGTGTAGAACAAGCCACTCCGTGCAGTGAATCATACTATGTTGTCACACCTCGGGCTCACCTGCTCGCAGTCTAAGGCTTTCAGATAGTCTTTGGCATCTCAAACCATATGGCACCCTGGCCCTATCTGCCCTCTTGTTGCCAAGGCCAGAAGAAGCTAGACAGCCTGCAGAACAGAGACTCATGGGTATAGCACTGCTTAGGCCACAGTAACACAGGGAAGCTCCATTCACCAGGGCTACGATTTTGACGCCCTTCATTATCACTACATTACCAAAACCGTGAGTGAAAAATACCCCAGAGAAAGAGAGACAAAGTAAAGGCTGGCTTGTTCTCTAGTTGTAAGACAAAGCTTGTTCTTGCAGGCTGTGCAATTCCCCACACAGCCAGCTGTGCTATCACTGCTGCTGCCAAGGGGTGTTTGCTGAACCAGCTACAGACATCAGCAGCAACCAGCTAAGCTCCAAGTAAAGCATAATCAGCCTGACTTCTCTACAGTACTGAGGACCAAATGCAGGCCACATGAGTCAAACCAGTCCCTTTGTGGCCTGCTCCTTTCCATCGTGCAAATGGGTACCTGTAAAGTGCTATGTTCTACGTCACTACTCCATGAAACTTGGCTTTTAAGAAGCTACAAACACCAAAGTACCCTCCAGAAGAGCCTGTCGTCTTCTGCAAAAGACAAGCACTGTCTCTGATTTCTGACCAGTGGTAGATACACCCCCACACTGAACAGAGATCAGACTTTCCCGTTCACTTAGCAGAAAATGATAAGATAATGTGATTTCCCCTTGAGACTCTTGAGAAAAAGCCCGTGTGTCCAAATTGTGTATGAGGAACCTCACCTTTGAATAGGCTGCTTAGGGAGTAGGAGGAGGCTTGTTTGGGAAAAGCAGTATAGGAGGAAGAACCTTTCTGCAGGCTGGAGTCTCGGCCCTCCAGGGAGCTAGCGCTGCTGGAGGCTGTCTCTTTGATTGACCAGGAGATACCTGACAAATAAAACGTACAGACAGAACCATTGTAGTGATTTAAAGCAGAGGAAAAGAAAATCAGTCTGTAAAGAAAGATCTTCAGGCAGGGCAGGAACGTATGCGTCCTGGTCAGTTCTACGCTAGCACATCCTGGTACGTTTTGACCGCCAGCACTAATCAGATGCAGCGCACAGGATCCCAACACCATGCAGTACTGCTTATTAAACAGCTGCCCATTCTCCTCCAGAAATGCTTGTATTTCATCAGTGTTGTACAGCTGGTTATGGCTTATACTAAAAAAACACACACTATTCAACATTCGTATGTTGTTGCATGAGGCAAACCATATTGCTTCTCCAAAGGTACAAGGCAAGACAGAGAATCCTTTGCTTATCTCAAATTAGAAAGGCATAAGAACATTCCTTCCCGGACACTGGAAAGCCAAGATAGCTTTGCTGCCCACAGAGACAAATCAACTATGAGAGTACACAAGCTGCTGGCAACAATGCATACGTCTCCCTCCTGCTTGGTCTAGTTTTCACTTCTTTTCATGCAGTGGCACAAACACACATTTTAGGATAGGGTGGTGTAACAAAAGAATAGCTGATGGGTAGAGACCCTGGGTGGGAAAAGAAAAGACCTGAACCATAGGGAGGAGTTTCAGCATAGTTCAGGAAGATCAGGCTCTTTTAAAGTCCTCTGGATGATCCAAATTTAAGCTTTCACTGTTTGAAAGGTGTTCAACGGCTAGCTAGTGCCTGAACTATTTTTATGGCAGCAACGGGTCACAAACCCCAAAGAGCAGCAGACAGCAGTTGCGTGAGGATCATGAGCCTGTCCCCACGCTCACTAGAAACGGATTTGTTTAATGCTTCCAATTCCCTTTCAAACTTCAGGCATAAAAGTCTGTCCTTAAACAAACCCCAACCTTGAAATACCGCCTTGTAGTGCTGCAGGGCAAAGCACAGGGAACTTTAAATGCTGTCATTTCAGGCAGCAGCATGAAGCAGATGCCACCCACAATCCTGCAGGTCAGCTGAATACGATGAATATCAAAACATAATCCCCAAAACATCTGTTCCGGGCTGAGCTATGTATTGGGAAAAACATAGCAATTTCCCTCCACTTGTCTGCACTCTTTCTATTTATTTAATCTGCTTCTGCCTGCTCTTTTCAACAGATCCACATAGGTAAAACAAGTGGCTCAACCAACTTGACCTGAAGCAGGACAGGATTAGATGGGATGTAGTACTCCTGACTGCAAATAAATGGTAATTTTAACCCTACTCCCTCCTAAAGATAGCTTAGAGCACTTCTGCACTTACTTCCCACAGGTTCCCCACTCCAGCTGACCTTCTCAAGGTCATCGTCATCATCGTCGACAATATCCCGAAGGCTATTCACTGCCCGTTTGGATTCCTTTAGCTATGGACAAAAAAAAACAGCTTGTAATAATGACCACTAACGTTGCGCGGAGATCTTGTTTCCCATTACCTTCTCAAACAACCTCCTCAGAATTTTGTACGCAGGTTCTCCAGCCTCTAAGCTACTGAAGGACAACCCTCCCTGGAGAAGGCCTTCTACGCTTGCGGATGTATAGCTGCCAAAGGCAGCCTCTCCTCTTCTCTCTATGTGGTGCACGGGCTGCAGGCACCCACACACGCACAAATCGCTCAAACTAGCAAGAGATGCTATTTGACATATGGGGGAAGGGATCGTCACAGCCTGTAACAAGATTTCAGACTGGCTACAAAGGGCTGAGGCAAGAGCTCTCGGCCCCCACGCAGCCAACAGCCCGACCAGCAAAGCACCCACCCTCCGCGGCCTGCCTCGAGGCAAAGCCAGTCCGAGGGCCGC